AATAAAGTTAAATTTTGATGGGAGCTCTATGGGAAACCGGGGAATTTGCTGGTATTGGTGGTGTGTTTAGAGACTCCTCAAGTAAATTCTTGGCCATGTGCTCAAGACCTATAGGAGAAAGTAGGGGTGGTCACAAGCCAAGCTCTTTACGAGCTATTCGAGCTCGGCTCGGCTCGGTTTCAACCAAGCTTCGAGCCGATCTCGAGCCCAATTTACAGGCTCGTTTATTAATCGAGTCGAGCTTGAATAGTTACATACATACATATATTCATAATAATAATAATAATAATAATAAAATTATAGAAAATAATATATATAATAAAAATATTATATATATAATATTTTTATTTTTATATATAATAACTAATTATTATAATTCTTAATTTTTTTAATATCGAACAAAACATATTTTTTTATATATAATTTTTTTATTTTTATAAAACATTTTTCTCAAGTCGAGCTTGAGCTAAGTCAAGCTCGAGCTTACGAGCTTTTGACTCAAGCCGAGCTCGAGCTCAAGACTCTATCTCGAGCCTCGTACTGCCTTGCTGAGCCAATCTCAAGGTTCATCTCGACTCGAATCCACCCGCAAGAGAAAGGGACTCACTAAAGACTGAAATGGTGGCACTAGTACAAGGCTTAAGATTTGCTAAGCAATCAAATTTTAGGAACCTGGAAATTGAAGGAGATTCAAAAGTGATCATTTCTTGGATCACTTCTAGATGTAATGTACCTTGGATCTATAAACATGCCTAAAGGGAGATAGAAAAGCCTGCAAAGGGACTTGACTACTTCTTTTACTTGGACATGAAGGATGGCTAATGGGATGGCTGACACTTTAGCCAAGCAAAGGGTATTTAGGCAGGAACTATTTTAGGCTCTATTGTAATTTATTATTGGGATATTGTTGTATTATGTCTTCTTGGGTGAATGGATACCCAAGCTGTTGTAACTTTTTCAACTATTAATAAAATTAAGGGAGAATGACGGGTCAGCCCAGGGTCAGAATTTGTAGGCCCAAAGTACTGTTGGGGTAGGTGCCAGCTCGGAATTGATGTCAATTCACGGGCGGGTATTGGTGCATAGAATGTGGGTTGTTGACATTTTGAATGTTTATAGCTCTGCAATGGAAATTAGAAATCTGCATTGGGCCTGTCCATACTTTTCTGTATAATTAATCCTTTACTCATAAAAAAAAAAAAAAAAAAAAAAACTAATGCCCCCATCCTTGTCTCTCCACATCATGAAAAATGGTGTTAATGAGTTCCTTGTTGTTGGAGCCCTCCTCATCAATCAAGTCTCCTGTAGTTCTTCGATCTCTATATACCCATTCTGCTTTTGAATATAAAAAGTAAAGGCTTTCAGCAAGTGTTCATCATTGTCCATCTTCAATTGAAACTGCAACAAACTCCCCATAGTCCAAAGCTCCATTCCCTATCTAACTCAGTAGCTTCCATTAGAATCTAAAGATCAGGTTCAGGGTTTTGCTGACCAAACTTTTGCACTCTCAGTGCTGCAACAATCTTTTGAATAATTAAAAGGGGCTACACATAGGTTCAAGCAAGGGGCATCAGGCATGATTTAAAATGCACCTCATCAATGCAAGTAGGCATGCCTGAGGTATACCTTTTAAAACACTGCTCTAGGGGAATACCTTATATAAACTTGGTCATTACACTTTAAGGATCCATAATTGGTGGTTGCTCATTGTGAAACCAAGGGCTGTCTAGTGTTAGAGACATTTTGGATAAGCTACTGTCTTTACAGGTTTACTCAAGAATGGTGAAGAAGGATAATTCTATTTGGACAGAGCTACAGTCTCTCTTCAGGGGATTGTGGCTACAGTCTCTCCTCAGGGGATTAGGTAATTCTAGAGCAAAGATTTAAGGAGTGTCTCATATTGCAATGGGTTGGTTGATAGATGGAGGGAGGCCCTCAGTGTTTTGGCATTGCATGAGAGGATAGGTAACTGGCAATCAGAGAGGATATCTAGTTCCACACTTCTACTGGAACTGGTTTAGGAGATCTTTCAATGATCTAATAAACTCCTTAGACAGAAGGTAGGAAAAAGATACTTGTATCGGGGATTAACCGTTCCAATGTAGATAGCTTTTGTATTTACCATGGAGTGTATGGGGAAGCTGTTTTGAGACATTATTGGAGTTTCTTGGATTACTTCTGCTTTACTCTCTCTATTGTACCTTCTTTATGTTAATTTATTAATAAATGCTCTTAAATTGATATAAATTACAAGGACCACACATAAAGAACACTAAATCTTTTCAAACTTTCGAAGTTCTATGGACAATCAGCAATAGAACCTTCATAAGTTATTGGGTATGTTTGGAACCATGGCTGTTTCTCAGACAATGTTCATACCTCAGTTTTGTCTTGGTAATCATAAAAGTGGGTGCTCTTGCGCACAGAACTCAATTCCCAAATTTTTATTATTATTTAAGACAGCTAGGTGCCACATAAGACCAAAAAGGTGAAAACGTGTCTTGAGAGCAAGAAACATCAAAAAGGTATTTTTTTGTGATAAATGATGAAGTTTTATTAAGAAAGAGAAGGAATTACATCAAAGTTTTACAAGACAAAACATCCCAATAGGGACGTGAGCTGTGATCCCAAACAAACACAAATTACAACTGAGCCAAAAAAAGTTCAGACTAATGCACCCCTATTTTTGCAGAATAATCTGCCATCCCATTTTCTGACCGTCTTTGCCATTGAAAAATTTTTGTCATATCTCCAACCAGCCATTTGAACTTTTCCATAGATTTCTTATACTTCCAAATCAATGTTTCTGGTTCCTTCAACCACCCTACAATCAATTTAGAGTCGCCTTCAATGAGCAGTCTGTCCAAGTTTAGATGTCTAGCGATCTGTACTCCTTGCAAGACTGCTTGGAAATCAGCAAAAACTGAATCCCCTATGCCAACTGGACCTGAGAATGCACCAACAATATGTCCTTCATTATTCCTGAATACTCCTCCTATACCAGCTGGACCTGGATTCCCTAGACTGCTGTCATCAAAGTTCAGCTTGATAAGACCTTCGTCAGGAGTTTCCTTGAGAAACTTTTGTCAAAAAGGTGAACCAGTTCGACCAGACAAGAAGTTAATTTGGGTACAATCAAAATGCCTACATGGAGATGACACGGTGGCATTTCCTTGAGAAACAACCATGCAACCGAGCTTATACATTGAGGGCCTGCTATATATGTTTCTATATTCACTTTGGGCATCACCTATATTGGTTAAATCACTTGAAATCTATTTTGAGACAGGAAGAGGAACTAGACTTTAACTGATAAGGAAAAAAAAAACCTAGACTTTAAAAGATGTCTGCTTTCATTACACCAAGTGAAGCTAATTATCTCTCCCATAGCCCTAACCTCCAAATCTCCATCTACCAGAACTGATAATGGTGTCGTAGACGTGGCACCGCACAGGCCAAAAAGGAGGATCACAGACTTAGAATAGATCTAATCAAATAGTATTAGGAGTGCAACTTGGGCAGGGCAGGCTAGCTTTAAGGTCAACCTATGCCCAACTCCAATAGTTGGGCTCAAGTTCCAAGCCCAATCTGCCCAATCTAGGCCCAACCTGAACTAAAATTTGACAATCAGGTTCAGGTTGATCACTTAGGTTTAGGTGGGCCCAAGTGATGTATGTAGCTGGGCTGTTTTAGGCAGGGCTGGAGTCAGGCTAGGATTGATCCAGGTTCGAGACAAGGTTTGGTTACCCAAGGACTAGGCCTAAACCAGCCCAAAAATGGGGAAAAAAAACTTTGGGCCTGATCCCACACCACAAATCCAAGCGCAGCCCATGTACAATTTTGGGTTGGGTTGCTCATGCGCTCAGGTTGGGCCTGCCCAAGTTGCACAACTAAATGTATTTCCTTTCTTTTTGTGATGAAGCCCCAAAATCCCAGGATTATGAATGACTAATCATGAAGACATGAGCCACAATGGCCAGAACCAAAAAATAAAAGATTACTAAAATGGCCATTATGCAATATTACTGCTCTTGGATATCTAGGGTATTGACAGGGGTGTATTGGATATGGACCAAACCTCTGGCATATTTTTCACAAAGAGGCTATTCTCAAACTGGAATCAACATTTTCACACTTGTAGCTCAAGATTTTAACATAGCACCAAGCAATGGCCATAGCCATATGCCCGTGAATTCCTAAGTGGATATGAAAGAAGCAACAATAAATATGATCTGTTCAAAAAAGGATATTTTATGGATAATATCAAAAACTATTCTGCACCAGAAAATTGTCACATAATTCCCAATTTATTATAAAAGGAACATTTACTTGCTTTTTAATTCAAATGAGTAATAAGAAGGGGGCCATTGCTTAATGCAATGGTAAAATTGCAGGATGACAAACATGAGAATGCAGATTTGAGAATGATAGCAGCCATTTTTTGCTAAAAATGCTGGAATTATCCCACCCTTACTAAGGAGTCAAGACACCAGATAGAAGGGATAAACATTGAGTAAACTGTAAAGTCCTTTTTTCATGAATAATTAAGAGATAAAGAGTGTATAACCATATAATATAAATTATAAATGATGACTATAGTTGATTTTACACTGTCTTACCAAATTAGAGCACTCAGTTAAGAATCCCTTGTGTCCCACCTCTCCATAACAGCCAATCCAACCCATGGAAACTTGGAATGTGTTTACTGTTTTTAAATCTGAGGACTCATTTAAAATTTGTTCCAGTTCCGTTTCTTTACTTCTTTGCTTTTACTAAAATTTAGGGTTTTTTAAAATAAATTTTCATTGTTACTAATCAAAGAAAGCACCATCCAGCTAACAGTGGACTATGTACTATGAACCTCTAGCACCGTTTTTCTTTTTTTATTTTATCTTCTTTTTTTTCAGAATTTCATGTTACTAATCATTATTACCTCGTGCTGAATTGCCGACAGTAAACAAGACTAGGAATAACCAAAATGATTAGTAATTTAGTTATACCTTAGCATAGTAATCCTTCCAAACTCTGCGAGCGATCTGATGACCCCCCAAATCAAAGGCCTTGAACTTGATTTTGCCAATACTCAATTCCTCTGATGTCGGATGCTGTGTAGGCTGATGCTGAACTAATCTCTGTAAATAGCAAAAAAATAAATAAATTTGAGAAACAAAGAAAAATAACCCAGCATTATTTAAAAGTGAGACAAATAGAGGAAGTAAAACAAACCTCGTCTCTCAACATATGAAGCAAGGTCGTCTTCCCGGCATTGTCAAGCCCCAGAAACAAGATCTTGGCTTCTTTCTGCCAAAGACCAAGCGACGCGAGAACGCCATAGAACCAATCGAGTAGAAACATAGTTTCTAAGGAGAATCAGATCCCACTGAAGCAAACTACACAAAATCCAGCAAAAACCTACCAAAACTCGGCCGATCAAGCAACGAGATCAGCCAATCGAGCAACTGCAAAAGCTCATATAGTCATATCCCTGCTCACTCCACCGGAAAAGCCGGATATGCTGGTAGTTGATACAGCGGAAAATAAAGATCGAAGAGGTGGTAGATGAGTGAGATAAAAACACTCTGAGAGAACAAAAAGGACGTTGGGTAGGAAGAAATCGCTTTTAGTATTGTCTTTTTCTTCAGACGTTAATTAAGGAATTTTGTGAGCGTGAGAAGGAAGCCTGGAATCCTTGAACCAGTTCCCGGTCACCCGGTAGGGAATCTGATTAGTGATTGCATAGAGAATCCAATGATTTTTTATCTGGCAACCGGTAATATCCAACAAGGCTACTCCATCCAATTGAAAACCTTGGATTGGCATCAAATTATACTACCCGTCTGATTATCTGTCATAATTCGTCCTTTTCTAGAAAGAATTGGTAGGTCCCATTAGTACACCGATTCGCCGATAGACGATAGTCTCGTGAATCGTGATGTCAATTCTCTACTCCTCAAATCCTCGTCAACTGATCAATTCAAGGGTTATAATGATGCTAAATGAACAGTGGATGTAGAATGAGATTTTCAAATGCTTACAGTATACAAGGCAAGCGGATCATCTGATCAAAGTATTCTTCATCTGTGATATTTCACCAGTCCACCTAATTACTATCACGTGTAGCAGTTGATTTGCCACGTGCAGAAACAAAACGCTAGACTACAAACGAGTCAACGATAGTTTGAGCTATCATGAGCTGGATGCAGCAAGGCCCCTCATTTGTTTCTTCTCTACTTGTGGGCGAACCCCGGCCGAACCAGATGGGCAGGGTCTTTTCACCCAAAACGTCAAACAATTCTTCCAAAGACCTGTCCCAGCAAGGCCCATGCAAGGTTTTTAAAACCGGGTCGGATAGGGAACCGTTTTGGGTCTCGCTCCCTAGCCAAATGGCCCAACCGTCTGATTTAAACAAACACAAAAAATACAAAATTAAAATATACAAAAAATGGCTAAATATCATTCCTACAGTCGAACGGTTTGATCACCCATGTCAGTGATCGCTGACCAAATTAACAGTTTTTGGCCAAAAAGTGGTTTTGGAGTAAAACAGAATCGGTCAAGTGACCAACCCCAATTTTTTCAATCCGACCATCTAGTCCAATCTGGTTTTGAAAACATTGATCTCATGCAAGATGTGGTTTTGAGCCCTATTATTAACTTTCAGTCTCTCACCACCTTTCAGAATAGTTATTAATGTTACTAGAAAAAAAGCATGGTTTTCAAACCACCATTGACTCGAACGGTCAGAGTATTTGGCCCAGGAACCATCCAGGAAACCAGTTTTATTTTACCCCAAACTCAGTCTCTAGCCAAAAACCATTGAAAAATTCAACAATCCATTGACCCAAACAATCAAACCGTTGATCTGTCGAACCGTTCAATAGTTTTTGGTCGCTTTTTATTTTTAATAAATTTTTTTAATTTTTTGTCAGAATGGACCATCCGTTCGAACTAAACAATTAGATCATCAACTCAAAAATAGGTGGTTAGAACAGTTCCATTTTCAGATCGTTTTTTAAAACCATGGAAAAAAAGTATTGTAATATTGTAATATTGTACTATGCAATCGAAAAATGAAATATGACCCCTAAATGAGAATGATTCAATATAAATGAGTGATTTTTCTCAAAATAAATAAATGAGAGTGATTCAATATAAAAAAAAATAGTGACATGTCAAAGCATGATCTGAAGGTTTCTTTTGTAAATTTGTTGCTTTATGCTGGTGTGTGTGAAGAGGTGCAATAAATTTATTTTCAAAACCTTGCAGAAGATTCTCTAACCACTGTTAATATTGCTAACAGGATAATTCAGGACTCTACAGCTTCATTATCAACTTCAAGCCCCCTTGGTGCCTAGGAAAATCAGAAGAAGGTTTATGGCTGATCCATGTGCTCCTCACAAACGTTTTGCTCACATCTGGACAGATGGCAACTTTTTGGAAGATAATTATGTTGTTCTAATTTTAGACCCCTTTGGTGAGTTCAAAGCAGCAAAATCCGAATTTGATACCTGTGATCTGCTTTCTCATCTGAAGCTATGGCTTTGCTTAAACAGTTAGGATGGCTATAGATCTCTTTGGGTTTTAGAGACTTAAAAATTTTCAGTGACTGTGATATGTTAATTTCAGAACTTCTGAGCCCGTTCAGATTAACCTCCAATGACGATATCAGACAGGAGTTGGGTGGTTGTTCGTCTATTTTTTTTTTTTTGACTGTATTCACAGATCCCAGAACACAGTGGCTCACTTCCTTGCAAGCCGAGAATGTAAAAAAGATGAATGGGTGGATGTTCTTCCCCCGGGTCTGTCTTTAGATATGTTTCAATCTCTTGTTCCTATTGTACAAGGTCGACCTTTTGGTCCAATAAATTGCTACGAACCTCCTCTCTCTGGAGAGCTGAGAAGGCAGCGTTCCACCGAGCTATGGTGATAGAGCACGGCTCACAAGGGGCTGGCTATCTTATAGAAGGAAACCGGGAAATTAAGATAATGATCGATGATTCCTCAAGGGTAATCCCTCGCAGGTGTTTAAATAGGTCGATGGCCATTACAACGGTGTCTGAAAAAGTAAAAAAACGCAGGATGAAAATCATAACAGAAATCATAACGAAAAGATGCGATGGTGAGTCATGATTGTCTCGATTGTTTCTAACGGTCTCGTGCTGTATCAATTGCCTCGTTATCACTACGTGTTATGTCATCCTGATGTGGCCCCCCATCAGGTTCGATCCTCAACATTCCCGTCCTCAAGGCTGAAGCTAGGGAATTTTGAGATTGGCCCAGGTCTCCCAGGTGGCATCTGAAACTGGAACTCCTTCCCACTGAATTAGTAGTTCAGTCTGTGCCTGGTTATTGCGTTTGATCATTTGTCTATCGAGAACAACCTTAGGAGTTGGGTGGAGAGATCCGTCAGTCTGGAGAGGTGGTATGCTAGGACTGTGGATAGCTCCGGTACCCAGTTTCCTTTTTAGCCAAGATACATGGAATACTGGATGCAAGCGACACCCTTCTGGAAGAGCCAGTTTGTAGGCAACTTGATCCAACTTGGTAGAGATTTAAAATGGCCCATAGTATCTGACTGATAATTTTTGTGATTTCCTGGTGGCGATGGAGCTCTGGCTGTAAGGTTGTAAACGGAGGAAGACCCAGTCCCCAACTTCAAAAGTTCGCTTGGTTCTTTTGTTGTCTGTTTATTGCTTCATCCGGTGCTAGGCTGATTGCAGGTGTTCTTTTAACCTGGCTAGGATCTGATCTCGTTCCTTGAGGTCCCCTGTTCCACGGCAGCTACTTGGAAGGTTCAAAATATTGCAAAGCCGTATCGGCCTATAGGGGCCCGAAACAATTTGATACATATAATTAATTTCGCTAATCCATATTTAATACCAAATATTCCATTAATGTCATTTATTTAAGTCTAATTTTTCTTTCATTAATTAGTCAATTATTCCAAGACAAATTTGAATTTTAGCACCTAATTCAAATTTTTCATTAATTCCTTTAATTAATGATCTCATCTCATTAAATTCATTTTATTAGTGTGAAAATTTAAAAGTTTAGCAATAGCAAGATTTGAACCTTAGTGACTTGATTTTAACAAAGACAAGTTCACCAACTAGGCAAACATATTTGTTTAATATGATTATATGTATTTTTTATTTTAAATAAATTTTCACTTTTCTTAATGAATGACAAGTGTTTATTAATAAATGCTAGAATTAATTATTAAAATTTATATACAAATAAATATTAAGATTAATTATATTGATTTTTGAAAATTGACATTAAATTTTTAGTTTTTTTTTTGTTTATTTTACATTTTAATTATTCCATCATTTTTAAACAGTTACTAATTGTTTCCCAATATGTCATACTTTATATAAACCATTAAATTATAGCTTTTTACATTTAAATGACTTATTTACAATCATATAAAATTTGTAAATATAGTTAGTAATATATTTTTAGGATTTATTTGAATTTTCTACCATATTTATGTGTATCTTAATTTTTTGTCCGTATCCAAAGTGTATCTTGTATGTCTCTTAAAATTGTCTTTCTGATACACCTTACATTTCTGATACTTTGAACCTTGGATACCATAAATTGCCTCAAAGGGAGTGATATTTGTAGCTGAGTGGTGGGTGGTGTTGTACCACCATTCAGCGAGTGACAACCACTTGAACCAAGAGCTTGGGTGAGTGCTAGTATATAGCAATGGATGTAAGTTTCTAGAGTTTTGTCCAGTGCCTCCGTTTGGCCATCAGACTGAGGATGGTAGGAAGAACTCAGGCTCAGAGTGGTCCCTTTCAGTTTGAACAATTCTTGCCAAAAAATGTTGGTGAACACCGGGTAGAGGTGGCATACCGTGCAGTTTGAAGAGGTTGTCTAGATATGCCTGAGCTACATCCCAAGCCGAGTAAGGCTGAGAGAGAGCAATAAAATGCCCGTATTTTGTCAGTCTATCCACCACCACTATGAAGTCCATCGAAGCCTCAGTCCATGGTTTCTTTGGAATCGGCAAGGACTGTAAGAGTCCAAGTAGTGCCACACTCTCATATTTATTTTGCTAGCATACCACACATTCGCGGATCCAGGCCTTAATCTCCTCTTTATACCCCTGCCAATAGCAGACCCGTTGTATCATTTTCATTGTCTTGTGAAACCCAAAATGTCCACCTGAAGGGGAGTTGTGCATTTCTTCGAACAACCTTCTTCTGTATATAGATTGTGGACCCAGAACTAATCTCCCCTTCCTCCACAATAACCCCCCCCCCCTTGTATTGGTAATGTGGGGGAAGCTTCCCGATGAGGTTCTGCAGTTGAGGATTGGCAGCTGTCTCTTCTCTAACTTCATCAATCCAGGAAGGTACTAGGGTGGATATAGCTTGAAACTCCCCAATTCTGGATCTTGCCCCTCCTATAACAGACTTCATAATCCAGCCCCATCAATTTGCTCAATAATTTTTGTTGTGTAGGGGTTGCTATCTTCTACTTGATAATGTGCCCCAAGCTCTAGTGGTTCGTGATGATTTGAAACCTTTGGTTAAGGAGATAGGGTCGCCATTTGATAACTGCCAACACTAAGGCCAAGAGTTCCCGTTCATAGGTAGACCATGCAAGATGTT